CACTGGAGGTTTCCCAGGGTTCCATAGCCGGGTCCTCCAAGCTGCCGCCAGTCCTGCTGTCAACGGGGGTACAGAATGCTTAGCACAAGGGAGCTCTGATTCTTTCAGGGCCCATAGAGACTACGTCAATCCAAACAATAATATACTCAATATTTATAAAGTGCTTTGTGAGCTTCAGATAAAAAGTATTAGAGAAGCACAAATTATTACTATATATTCACAGTTCTATTAATAGTAATATATCATCATGGAGTTCATGCACAGCAATAATAAATAGACCAGCTTTTATGGAATACAAGTGAATTTATTCTCCTGTGATGTTGCATGTGGAATTCAGAATAGCAATAGAAATAGCTTCACTGGCTTGGTAAGGCAGAAAAAAAGTATAAAGAGCAAAGTGCTTTAATTATATAGTTTATACAGCAATTTAAAAGTGGTCAGCACAACATGCATAAATATAAATATACATAATTATTAATCCCATAGAAACTTAATTAAAGGTGGAGCATGATTTGGACTGCACCTGAGAAAAAAATGCAGGTATAGACCTAGTTTCCTTAGACAAATAAAAGTGATTGAGAATTGTGTGAACATAGGCTACTTATTGAACCTTAATAGGAGAAGTGGGTTGTGCCCACAAAAGATCATGATACAGGTTGGCTGTCACTGGTCTGGCACCCATGAGGGGATTTGGTAGACCGGGAATGGTTCTTTCCCTCCTGGCTTGTGCTGCCACTGGGTTAGGGCTCCAGCCTGCCCACGCTGCTGCCCCAACCCCTTGGGGCTTTCTACATGCCGCCTGCCCCACTGCTGCTGGGGCAGAGCACCAGGGCTGGAGCTGTACAGCCATGGCAGAGCTCAGCAGCCTCCTGGCTCCGTGACTGGGGCTGGAGCTGTGCAGCCAGGGCAGAGCTCAGCAGCCACCTGGCTCTATGACCGGGACTGTGCAGCCACTTTACTCCCCAGCTGAGGCCAAAGCTATGCAGCAGGGGCAGAGCTCAGCAGCTGCTTGGCTCTGCAGCTGGGGCTGGAGCTGCACAGCCAGGGATGGGGTGGAGGGTCAGGGCCAGAGCTCTGTGGCTGGGGACAGAGCTCCTTGGCCACCACTGGGGCTGGAGCTGCACAGCCAGGGATGGGGTGGAGGGTCAGGGCCAGAGCTCTGTGGCTGGGGACAGAGCTCCTTGGCCACCACTGGGGCTGGAGCTCCACTGCTGCTGCTGGAGCTAGAACTCCCCACTATGCCACCCGTTCCCTCCCCACACACACTGACTTTCCAGTGCCCCCTACTGCACTCCTGCCCTGCTGCCAGTCATCCCTGTTTCTGGGCTCTGTGGTCCGGGAACATCCATGGTCTGTTGCCAGACCAAGGAGTCCTAGTTAAGAGAGGTACAACTTGTACCATCTACATTTTTTGTTAGTCTCTAAGGTGTTGCAGGACCATTTGTTGTGTTGTTGAAGGATAAAAGGTAGGCCACAAAAGTCAGAAATGATACAACCAAAAAGAGTTGGTCCAATAAAAGATACTAGCTCACCCACCAAAGCCTAGTTGCTCTCCAATTCAAACTAGAGTGCACTGATAATCACCAAGGAGGCAATAGATCAGCAATGGGAAACCAAGATTAATGAGTGGGCCACATGAATGGCCACCTTCATCACAAGATTGTTGTAACCAAGATGGTCTCCTGGGACAGGGTAGTTTTGCTAACTGCACTTGTGTACCTAGAATTTGCAGGGTGTGACAATTGAATTGTAGCAGTGCTTTGATTGGATGCAAAGGGAGTACATGGCTCTCACAGTCAATGTTGTGTGTAATCAGCATGCACCTCATTTCATGTACCTTTGATGTATGCACATGTCACTTTAATAATAGAGGTAGGACAAAAATTACGCACAGGGAGGCCACTGGAATCTAGCAACCCACATGTGGGCAATGGTAAACAAAACATCTTGTAGGCCACAGATAGCATCCAGATGGGCTGCATGTGGCCCTCAGTAGCCTTAGAAAAAATGAAAAATGATCAGATTCACAACTGATGTTATTTAAACAGGTCATATTTCAGATCAGACTGTCAGCCACAACCTCCCTATTTTGTGCCTACTAAAATACAAGAGCAAAAATATACAACTTACACAACTGTGGTCATTACGTTTGCACCATTCTCTCTTCAAAATTCATGACATATCGGATGTTTCTCTAGCAAATATTTCATTCATATAGATGACAGCACATCCAAGCAATTGAGCTGTAATTAGCAGCCTGAGCCCAGAGGAGATAAAGGAGAAGCAATTTCTATAGAATAGAAATCTGTTTCAAAATAATGAAATTTATATTAATAATCAGTGGGGCTGACAGCCTTGCCGGTCCCCTGGGCCAGGTGGGGGCAGTCCATTCTCCATGCCCCTGGAAGGGGTTAGGTCTCACGTGGAAGAGGCAGAGCTGGGGTAGCATTTCCCACCCCTCACCCGGCCTCAGTGCTCACTGGGCCCTGGGGCAATTGCCTTTTTACTCCTCCCCCCCATCAGCTGGCCTGTTAACAATACCTGCAACTTGCTGCAGTGTGGACAGGGCCAAAAGTTGAGTTAAGGTACTTCGACATCAGCTGCACAACTAACGTAGAGGAAGTAATGTGTCTTAATTCGATCTTACCCCACAGTGCAGACCAGTTCTTACCAGTTGGAAACTGGTAAACTCATTCACATACTCCTGATGGGCCAGCAACATTTTATTTGTATATTCATTATGTAAATAACAAATATGCAAATAAAATGTTACCAGTTTGCCAAAAGACCTGGCCCCCAGAGCTGCTATGAGCAGCCGGCTTCATCTCCGCCAGTCCCCTGCCCCTTAAGGCTTAGAGCACCCCAACATCAGATCCCCCCCCAGTGCCAGCATTCTGTTTCCAGAGCCCCATTGCACCCAACCACCCTTTAAAGCTCCCCCCAGTCCAAGCCCCCAGTCCCCAATATTAGCCCCATCTCCATAGGCCCCCAATGCCAGCCCTGTCCCATAGCCTCCCCACTACTAGGCCCACTTCCAGAGCCCCTCAGTACCAGTTCCCCTCCCGAATACCTCAGTGTCCCCCAGAGTCAATCCCCTGCCTCTTAGAGCTCCCCACTTCTTAAGAGCAGCCTGAGGGTTGGGCAGAGACAGCTGGGAGAGGGGAAGGAAGCTGGTTGGAGTGACCCATGCAGGGAGTTGGGTGGAAAGTGGCAGGTCCCAGCAAGTGAGGGGCGGTTGCACAGGAATTAACAGCTTGGCATTTGCCCAGCTGCGACCTCCAGCAGCAGTGCTGTGCAGGAGAATCATGCCACCAGACTCTGGGTATAGGTCGGATCCAGCGGCTCCCTGGGCTCCCCTGCTGGCCAGGGCAGGGCACAGGCGGGGCCCTGGGTGGATGGGGAGGCTCCTGTCAACACCTTTCATGGTGTGGCAGGATCCGTGTTTGGTATGAGTGGGACTCCAGTCTCCTCCTCGGCGCTGGAGGTTAGTTCTGCGGCAACTCTCCTTGCACATGAAATTCTGCACAGGTTTTGCTGAGATACAAAATCATCATTTGTTGTTTCTTACTCACATGCCTCTATACGTTTTTGGCAGCGTGGCAAAATAATAATTAAGCATGGGCATTCTAAATGGCCAATGCAGCAGCAGTGACAGTGTTAACACAATACAAGAAATCCAGTGCATGACTCACATAACCCATCCATACCTTTGGAGCTGAGGAACCACAATAAAAGAGGCTCTCTCTTAACTTCCAGGGGGCAGGGAAATGAAAAGAGTGAAAAGTCCCTGTCAAACATTCCTGGACCTAGATCTATCCTCTCCATCAGGAAGCCACTGACCTACACGAAAATCTGTCAGAAGCCACACACAGGAAGGAAAAAAAAGGGACCTCACTGATGTGGCCCCTGACTGAAAAGGAGAAAAACACTCCGCACATTTCCCTTGCACACCAGAAGCTGGGAAGGGGTTAGTAGATTTTACGTGCTCCCGGCCAACTTGGGAGATAGATCCAGGCAAGCTGGGGGCTGCATCCAGTTCCCCAGCCCTGCTCTCTAGAGTTAAAAAAAAAAGACATTTCATGTTTCTGGTGACTGTTGTTTGTCCTTTAGCTCAGGTAGTAGAAGTCTGTGCTATAGGGCTGAACCTTCAAGGTCCAAACACTACAGGTGATACATGAAATCTAGGAAGTAAGGTTACAGCTACATAATAAAATCTCATTTACTCATTTCCCTTCAACCCTCCTTCAAACTCGTAGCAAATTACAAAAACAGAATCCTGTTAGACATGTTATTTAGATTTCAAATTCAAGCAATGGGCAAATCAATTAAGATGACATTGATGGCTGTCACTTTAAATCTGCCACTCGTGCATACACAGTATTAATCTTTAATTATATGATCATGGGTTCTCCAATATACCTCATTATGTGCACACAATAGATACACAAGGGATGGAATTAAGATTACACAGGGACTGGAAACATGCTATTCTTGTTTCGTGTTTAGCACTGTGTAAATTCCAAAGCTTCTCTCTCACCAAAAGATGTGGGTTCAAGAAGAGATTATTTCACCCACCTTGCCTTTCTCTTAACAGTTTTTTTTTAATGTGATAAATCCACATTACAGTTCCCCCAGCGTCCTCCTCTCCTTTCTATTCCCCTTTATTGTTCAGCTCTGGGCGCTTTGAAGGACTAAGAATAAAATAAACGAAGAAGCAAAAAAACTTCAGAAATCCAGCAAAACGGAGATCTAGGGTCCTCCCATCGCTGTTCTCCCTTTTCTGACCTTTGACACACTCACGCGTGGGGGGGGGGATGAAATACAAAGGGGCCTCTCTTCACTCTCCAATCAGAACCCGCGAAGGAGCCTGTCGCAGCGCCGCTGGCCAATGAGGGGCGGGCGTGGCTGGAAGGTGGAGCTGGCAGGCTTAGACGCTGCAGCTGCTCTGCCTGTCCGACCCAGAGAGGGGAGCCAGGCGGCGGTAGCCCTTTGTCAGTGAAGCGCTTCCAGCGCCGGGGTCGCCTAGCCACGCAATGGCCGGCAATCGGGGTCCCGCCGAGGACCAGCTGAAGCAATGGCAGGATCAGCGGGGCTTCCAGGTACCGCTGCAGGGGCTTCGGGTCTCGCGGCTCAGCAGCCCGTGGGGCGGGGCCTGAGAGGCTGGGTCTTACCCCGAGGGGCTTCGCGCCCCGCCGGCCGCTGTCCCGCTCCGACCCTGCTGCCGCCGCCCAGAGTGTCCCGTCCCCATCGCGTGCGCTGCAGGCTAACGGTCACGGTCACAGAACGGCGGCTGCGTCCATCTAGATAGGGGCGCGGGTGGGATGGTAGCTCCCCCTGTGTGGCGGCGCGAGGGGCAGGCAGGCGGGGAGATGGTACCTTCCACTTCGGAGAGAGCGAGCGGAAGCCCCGGGGAAGGGGGTCGGGGGAAGGGCATGGCTGAGGAGATGGGCCGTGCCTGGGGGAGGGGCGCTGCTTTTGGCGGCGCTGCAGAGGACGAGGCTTGGCCCCTGTTCAGAGCGCTTGGTGTCAGGGCGGCGGGGCCTGGGCCGGGTTTAGTGTGGCCTGAGCCTGAGCTGCGTGTGTTGCTCAGGCCCGTGACAGTTCTGCACCCCCAGGGCTGTAGCGTGGCGAGGTCCCCAGAAGATGCATCCAGGATTAGCGACATTGACTGGACACCCCAACTGTTGACATGGGGAGTGTCTACACTGGGTGGTGTAGGGCCATAGCTATGCGGCTCTAGTGTAGACCTACCCTAGGTCTCACAGGGACCCTCTAAGGGGAGATCTCCATTTTACAGATGACAAAATAAGTGCAAGAATCAGTACACAATACAGAATTAGTCTGTATCCGCAAAAACCATAAGGAGACCTGTGGCATGTTAAAGAGTAAAAAATTTAGTTTGGGCATAGGCTTTCGTGGGAGGGAAATTTACTTTGTCATATGCATTTGATGGAGCAGGTTTTTGCCCACAAAAGCTACTGCCCAAAATTAATCTGGTATTCTTTAGGGGCCACAAAACAGGGCTAGAGGGACTATGTGACCTGGCCAGAGTATCACAGGGAGACACCGGCTAAGGTGGCAGAAATATCCCTGACTCCAGGCCTCCTAGTCCCTTGCTTTCAATATTAGTCTGTGTTTGCTCTTGGATAGGAAGGGATTAGAGATCTGATTTTCCAGACTGCTAAGACTTCAACTCCTTTTGAAGTGTACTGTAGCTGTAAATACTTCATATTTCTGAAAAATCAGAACCTATGATTTTATTATCACTTTATGTAACAACACTTTAGACTTTGATTAGCTTTGTTTTGTTTGGTGATTTTCCATATTCTTGAGTGTTTAGTTTGGCCTTAGATCAGTTTCAGTTTATACCTCAGTTTCTAAGCAAAAGTGTGATTGAGAGTTGAGTCTGAGCAATAAAATAGATATGTCAGGTGGATGCAACAGGGAAGATCTTGCATTTAACGGTGTTGAAAGTAGATAATAAAAACGCATTATATTCTAAAGTGCTTTTAATTCCAAAAATACATAGAAATAAAACATTTATGTAAGTCAATGAGTACTCCAATTTAGGGATGTCAAAGTGTAGTCAAGGGCGGCCCATGAGTATAGGCCGACTCAGCTGTTGCCCAGGGAGTCCAATGATGATGTTATGCCATTGATGGCTGTGCAGGCGGGAGTGCTGAGCACGTATTCCATCTGGGGCACCAGCTGCCGCAGCCCGCCTCGGGCCACCCCTGTGTAGATGACAAAATGATTAACTGATAAACCTGGGCATATTGGTTAATCCTGTCAACTACACTCATTTCCTGCCCCCGCCTCTGTATCCGAGCAAGTGAGGGTGGCAGGAGTTGGTGCCCCTGAGGAGCTGGCTTTAAGCTGGCTCCCCAAGAGTACCGGATCCACCTGCCCCCTTGACCCTGCTGCTGCCTGTGATGCAGAGGCAGCAGCACGGAGTAGGGATGTATGTATTCCCTCTTTTCCCCACCAGTAAATTTTTTAGCAGATAGGCTGGCCAGCAGCAGTCCATGTCCCGGCTTGCACTGGGTCTGGGACCTACCCCTGCTGCATATCTGCATTTAAAGTGTATTAGGAGCCACATGGGCAGGCATCCTAGCTCAGTTCCAGCTGGGTCTGGGAGCTCAGGCCACCCTGGGACAGGAGGGTGCTTCCACCCGGCACTGCTGCCTCTGTATTGGGGCAGCAGCATGGGCAATAGGAGCCGGTCCGTGGGGAACTAGTTTTTAAACTGGCTCCCCTTGTGGACCAGCTCCTGCCTGGCACCCCATGCTGCTGCCTCTGATACAGAAGGAGCAGCGAGTGGCAAGAGGTTCCTAGGGCGTGGGACCAGAGCACACTGCCTGCCGGCCCTACTCCTTCAGACTATAGAATAGTTAACTAACCTTGTGAATTCTTATTAACCAATATTTAACATCCCTAGTGTAGAGGGTGAGGGGGGCAGATGGGAGCCAATATGAATGGGGAGCAGGCTCTCCGTCCATGCCGGCTCTGCAGACACACCTGCACCCCCCTTTGCTGCCTCCTACAGAGGTAGCCGGAGGTGGGGGAAGCAGGAGTTGGTAGTGGTGGTGGGGAACCATCTTAAAAGCTGTCTGAAATGATGGCTCCCCCAGCTCTGGCTCCATGGTGTTGCGCGCCCCCCGCCCCCATACTTCCTCCCTCCCACCCCGCACTGCTGCCTGGTCTCTGAGGAGAAAGCAGGAAGGAAGTTTATTTAAAATTAGTATGAATATATTAATACCTGACACTGTAGAATAAAAATAAAGTAAATAAAGGAGTTAGATCGGTTTTAGAAAAGTGCCCTTCATTTTCTTACTAATACACTTGAGAGTTAATATGAAAAAATCATGTGCTGCTCTTTCTAGTGTGCTCTGCTTCATTCAGAAAGCTGATTGTTCTTCTAAAGTCTTATGACTTGTGTGGTGTGGTTTTTTTTTGTTTTTTTGGTTTTTTTGTGTTTTTGTTTTTTGTTTTTTGTTTTTTCGTTTTTAAAAGCCTTGGGGCCCAGTCCTTTGCCATATAAATGTAATGAATTTCAGTTGCTGCATAAGATGGCAAGCTAACTCAGAATACTCAGGTCTAGAGATGAAAGTTCTGAATAACAATAAGAAAAGTACTTTATTTATTTATTTATTTCATGTAGTGATGCTCTCTATTTAAAGTTGGTGCTTTGAAATTGCTGCTAGGGGTGTCAACGTGTAGACCACAACACGATTAACCAGTAAACCTTTGTTTATCGGTTAATCTTATTGACTACATGCACTCTTCCCCCCCCCCCCTTTCCTCCCATACATTTTTTGGCAAGCTGACCAGCAGCGTGGCTCAGTCCCGGCTTGCTTGCCTCCCCTTCCTCCCACCCAGTGCTGCTGCCTGTGATAGACTGCAGGGTGGAGGTTTAACTGATATGCGTGGGGAGCTGGCTTTTTGCTCTCTGAGTGCTGGCTCCATGGACAGCTG